ATTTGACTCCAAACCATTACAAAGGAGCCACTCCTGATTTACAACCAGCCTGTAGACCATCTCCATATTAAAGAACAGGCCTGTAACAAGCTGCTCAAGGAGGCATTACATGGTCACAAACAAAATTAAGACCTGGTGTGCCATAAAGTTCCAGTTTTTTTTAAAACATGTAGTTTTGCCACATAGGCAATAGGACACCAGGTGACAATTATTAGAAAATTAAAACACTATTGTGTTAAGGACTTTCCTGATCAAGCAAGCTTTCACTTAGTTCCTCAGTCAGGGGGGAGGAACATTCATGTGAGAGCTATTAACAGCCTGGGGCTAGGTCTTTTGAGCTTTCTCAGGGCCTGATGTATTGACAATGAAACAGAGAGCCTTGACTAAAACCAGGAATTTGCTTGGGAGAGCTAGAAATGGTCTGGGACCAGGGCCTTTGTGGAGGGCTTACTTCAGATCCTGAGAACTGAACTCTTCTCACCATATGCAACTGTGGTTATCATTCACAAGGCTACTGTGGGCTTAGTAATGACTTGAAATAAACTGTGTTTTTCTTGTGCTGCAGTTTTGAGTAGCCTCCTCCCTGAGTTTAACCCATTGTATGATAGTTTCTACTGACTTCATAGAAGTCACCTGTGGGGACACCAGACCTTGAGCAGCCTTCAGCCTGGAAGCAGGCATCTGTGTAATGTTTACTGAAAACAATTCAGTGCTTTAAAGCTCTTGATAGGGCTCAGATAAGGGCTTGCTCACTGAAATACCATGCCTTTGACACCCCCTACGGCTAGATGTCTCTTCCTGTTTCCCTGCTGTGTCTCCCCGATTCTGGGGCCTGAGATTAAACCACCAGCCAGGAGGGTGAGAAATCTGGAAAGAATGGTATGTAGATGGATGGCAGAAGTCCTTAAAAAGGGAAGCTCTTTTTTATTGGAGAGACTTCTCCTGAGAGCTCTCTCCTAAGCGACTGGGGTCTCCTCCTAAGCTGACTTGGGAAGCATAAAGTTTTCTTAAAGCAACCGACCGGTCTCTGTGTCATCTATCCCCACCACCTCGCTACATTCTCGGATGCAGGCCGCACAGCAGGTGCGACAGTCACCCATTTTCTTCCATTTTCCCCTTCTTCCTAAGAAGCTTCCTTGGCATGGGATATATCATGTGAAAGACCTCCCCATCCCAGGTTTTATCTTTTCTACCTTCTACATTTCCTATCTTTCTCATGCCCCTAAAACTTCAGCTCAGAATCTTGTCAGTGAAGAATGTACTTAAGAAACATTCCTGGGAATATTGTTGCAGAATAAGTTTCCCATCTGCCCAAGTAGCAAGACATGCTGTCTCCTGTCTCTATTTATATTGTTCAAAGTATAACCTGGAGTATGAAACTAAAAGACACTTAAGGATGACAGCATATGAAGTGCAACATGTGTCTAGGCCGCCTCCTCTTTGAGTATTAGCCAGAGATGGATGCATTTTATTGTTAAATGTGTTTTTAATCAACCTCTTAAGTATGTGAAATGATTTCTCCATAGTAAGGCATACTAACGCTAGAACCATTGCATTTCCATTCTGTTAGAAAAACTTTTCTGAGACAAGCTCTTTTATGTTTTCATAAATGGCCTTTGGTCTTTTGCTCTCCAGGACAAAATTCTTAAATAACTGTACCACCTTGGATTTAAAATTGTCCCTTTGAGTCATGCAGTGACAGGAAAAGGATTCCCATGGGGGAGCATTGCTTCTGCCTTCAGACCAAAATAGGAGGAATAGGTTATGCTGCAGGAGGATTCTGGGTAGGCAATCAGCTGTTTGAGTCACCATTATGAAAAGGGACCTGATTGTGGTAGTGGGAATGATTTTGTAATTTTCTAGCATGTTCTAATACATGTCATGTGAATACACACAGACCAGATCATGTGGGTGTACAGTTTGGGAAGGTTATCTTGAGCCAATGAATACTGAATTTACAGTTAGTTAACCATCCCATGAAGACATGCTCTATCCTGCTTGACACAGTTATGTCAGCTCAGAGGTTTGAGAAGTAGGTCATTGACTGTAACTATATGTCAGATTACAGAGCTCAGTAGCCAGCATATACATATAGGCAACATCAGTCTATCTCATATTAATGACTATAGTAATATTTTATTTGTAATCTAACAAGTAAGACTTGCCTGAAGATCAGAATGGAGAGCTAAGACACTAGTTAGCTACACACCTGGTTAAGTGCTAAGCCACTAGTTAGTCACACATCTAAGCCACTAGTTAGCCATAGAGGCAGGATATCAAGTACTCAAGGTCATCCTTGTCCAGGAAATGGTGGTGCATGGCTTTATATCCAGCACTTAGAAGACAGAGGCAAATAGATCTCTGTGAGTTGAAGGCAACTGTGGGATATGAGAGAGATAAATAGACAGAGAGAATAAGAATCAGTCTAAAAGAAAAACAACTCAATGTTTATCCCAGAACTTGGGATCACACTTCTTAAAGCCCACCACAGGATGTTGAAGATATGAGTGATATGGCTGGACAGAGAGAGGAATATAAGGTGGGATGTGAAAAGAGATCATTTGGTGAGAGGATTAAGTCTGAGCATTCATTCTGAGGATTCATAGAGACAGCAGTCAGTCTGAGGAAGCAGTGGTGAGGGCAGGATTGCCCCTTTGATCTGAGCATTGGTAGAGGTAAGAACTCTAGTGGCTGCTGCTCTGCTTCTGTGATCTTTCAGCTTTTACCCCCTGATAGCTGACTATAATATTGAAGAATATTGTGAAAATTCTAGAAGACATAGAAGGTAATTTTACTATAAACATTTTTACAAATTTGCCTCTGAAGAAATTTTAATGTGCCCTGGAAAGTTTAACAAAAAACAACATTGTAAATGATCACAGCTTAAAGTATATTAATGATTGTTAATTTCTCATGAAAACATGAACCTCAGTGTCATGTAGCTATTCTGTATTTGCAAGGACTTCTCATGAAAAAGAAAACAAGGAAGCAATGCTTTAACAGATACCACCATTTGAATCATAGCCCCATAAGAGCTATGCTGTAGAAATGTCAATCCATTTAGTTTCATACCACTGAGATTTTTAAATGGTATACACACTGAATAGAATATACATATATGTCCAAGACCTTCTAAGAAAAAAGATTGTATAGTACAGCTGGTATTACTCATACATTTGTGACTTTGCTAAGTATATTTAAAGGGTCAGTTTATGAGAATCAAGAAGGTTGTTGTGGAGAAACCTTAATCCCTATACCACATGCCTGTGAGGAAAAGAAAGTCAAACTGTGTAAATGCAATGTGGAAATCTTTAGTAAGAACAGTGGGGCATGGTGGTGCAGACCATTAATCCCAGCACTTGGGAGTCAGAGGCAGTTGGATCTCTGTGAGTTGGAGGCCAGCATGGTCTACCCAGTGAGTTCCAGGACCGTCTCTACACCAACACAGAGAAACTCTGTTTCGAAAACCCAAGAAAAGAATGTCATATGTCACTATAAATACAAGCCATGTGAGTTTGTATTTATATGAAAAGAAGCAATGTACCCCCCTTCTCTTTCTCAGAACAATTAGAAGATGTGAAATATATTTAGTAGCCCCACTTTGAGTAGATTTGTTAAATATGCTGCAAGTTGATGCTGTAACGATAAACAGCACACTTGTTGAAGGTATAGGCAACTGTTCATTGCAGGAACTACTCACAAGAGAAAATGAGCAACCCAGATGAGTCAAGTAGTTTTCTGCACCAGAAGCCAAAAAGAGGGCAAAAGGCTCTGCTGCTTGGTCTTTTATTCCTTCCTATGTACATGCCTCTAGCGATGCCCAAAAGTGGGCCTGGCTAGTGGCATAGTTCACTGCCCTGTCTCTAGTCATGCCCATATCTGTGTGCATCTCTAAAGCACCATGTGGCTAATGGTAGAGTCCTAAGTTTCCCCCTACAATTCCCCTTTTAGTCTAAAAAGAGATATTTAAACTTAAAACAAAACTAACTTGTGTCAATGAACAAAATGTCTCAAACATCTATCCCATCTAAACCTAAGCTTATCTGAAAGAAACACCCAAGTCTGAATACCTCCTTCCAATCCCAACTCTAAAATAACTGAAAACTAACACTAACAGATGTAAACTATCATATCAATAGTAGGGAGAGGGGGCGTGGAATTCTCAAAACTACTTCCTGCTGAGATGGGATAATGACAATCTCATGGGGACATGTGAGAAGAAAAATGTTAGTGTAATAAAATCTTAAGTAGATTAGACAGTCTCTGTTAGACAGGAGATGCTTGATTAAAGTTCTATTGTTGATTGAAGCTCTCATTTGAAGCTCTAGCCAGATTGTAGAAGGTACACTGTATCAGTTCCTTGGTCTGGAGATGTGTGGAGTGATGTAGTTCCAAGCTGGTTTCAGGATGGTGCTTATCAGCTGGAGTTGATGATATGGGGCAGTTCAGATGCATCCAGTCAAATCAGGTGGAGTCGATGAAGTAGAGCCCCATTCTCTTTCAGAAGCAGTTGAAGATTGCTGTCAGGAAATCCCTTGTTCTCTGGAAAACTCAAACATTAATGTTAACAAAGAAATTTTCAGCTTTTACACATATGCATACTGGGAAAAGTGACAATAGGAAAGATGGTAAACATGAAGGAGATTAGACTTTTCAGAAAAGAAATCCACAGATAGTAGTCCCTAATTTTATTTTCTTCTGTCTTATATCAATGGCTCTTTGATATAATATAGAAATTCTGAATTTTATTTAAACAATACGCTTAAATCTAGAGTAGGAGAGCCAATCTAACTCCAAAGCCAGCTTCAGTTAAATAAATGGGGACTAAAGCATATTAAGAAACAAAGAGAAATGGGTATTATGAAAAAAACAATATAGAGAGATTTAGACTTTAATACCACACAGTGAGTTATTGTTTGTTTGATGGTCCTCAGGGTAGCTATTCATTCTTCTTCAGGAATCCATACGTCCAGTATTTTTATTTGAGTTTTCCTGTGAAGACAAAAAACAAAACACTTCTCTTTCCTTTTATGAGGTCACTTTATCCATGGCAGAATATGACTTTGTAGAAGAGCTGTTATCTTTCCTCCTCCTGAGATGTCTTCTGTTCCGATCGAATCTTGATTAATTTTGATGGAACCCAAAGTTTTTCTTCTCCTGTGGAAACAAAGATAAAACCCCTTCCCCAATGGAACACATATCCTGGTTTCCAGACTGAGGTCATAACATCCTTAAAATATACCAGTTGGTTCAGTTCAGAAGTCTTCTCTGTAGTCCAGCGTCTTTCTGCTGCAGTTTGTCCTTTTTCATTAGCATTAAGAAAATTCAATGTTAGTAAAGCATTATGTAACCTTTGTTTGGAGGGGTCTTTGTTCCCCCTGGCTGTTTATGAAGCATTTTTTTAAGGTTTGGTTAGATCTTTCAACCACTGCTTGTCCTGTGGGATTATAAGGTATACCAGTTACAAGTTTTATATTATATTTGAAAAACTGTTCCAATTTACTAGACATATGCTGGAGCATTGTCAGTTTTTATTTGTGCAGGTATACCCATAACAGCCATCACCTCTAAGAGGTGTGTAATAACAGAATCAGCCTTTTTAGAGCTGAGGGCAGTAGCCCATTGGAAGCCTGAGAACGTGTCTATGGTATAGTGTACATATTTCAAACTGCCAAATTCTGGGAAGTGAAAAACATCCACTTGCCAAATTTCATTTCTGCGAATAACTTTGGGATTATTAACTGCTGGTAATGGAGTTTGGTTATAGAATGAGCAAGTGGGGCAATTTTTTACTATTTCCTTGGCTTGTTGCCAGGTGATAGGAAAGTCCTTCTTTATACCTTTGCTGTTAACATGGTGTTTCTTATGAAATTCCGAAGCTTCCAATGCACTTCCTATTAATGAACTATCAATTTCATCATTGCCTTGTGCCAGAGGACCTGACAGACCCATATGGGATCTGATGTGTGATATATATATATATATATATATATATATATATATATGAGTCCTGTTTCTGATGATTTCCTGTAATTGTAAAAAACAATGAGGTTAATTCTGTGCCATCAGGAACAAATTCTGCAGTCTCAATGTACAAGACAACTCTCTCTGCATACTGAGAATCCATGACTATGACTATTGAGAGGCTCTGTAAAGTCTTTAAGTACCATGAGAATGGCATATGACTCTGCCTTTTGTACAGAGTTGTAAGGGCTTTGAACTACTTTACTTATATTTCCTGATTTATACTCTGCCTTACTTGATTTGTTTGCATCTGTGTAGAAGGTAAGAACTCCAGAAATAGGTGTTTGTCTCATGATACACAGAAGAATCCAAATTGTTTTCTTTATGAATTTGATTCTCTCTGTTTTGGGATAGTTGCTACTAATAGTTCCCAAAAAGTCACTGCAAGCTATTTGCCAATACTCATTATCCTTCCATAAGGAAGAAATTTCCTCATTAGTTAAAGGTACAATAATTTCAGCTAGGTCTCTTCCAGGCAGTTGATGAAGCCTTAACTTACCTTTTAATATCAAATCTGAGATCTTTTCTATACATGTTTTCAGTTTTTTATTTTGTTTATGTGGCAGAAATACCCATTCTAGCATGATGTCTTCCATCCCATTTAAATGAAAACAAAGGTTTATAAACAAGATGGGAATTAGGACGTTGCTCATTCCAAACTACTTCGTGCTGGAAGGGGGCGCTGTTCATACCATGGGGATCATGACAAAACTCAGAAACCTGTGTAAGTCCTTATTTTCAGGGTCTGTGAAGCTCCATCATCTTAGCTGTCTCAATTATTGGAACACCTGGCCCACTGCTTCCAGGGGGCTTGGTTTATCAAACCACAGAAGCCTGGAAGGAATCCTCAGCTTTTCATTTTCTGTAGAAACATAAATGAAAACTCCTTTCCCAAGTAACATATCCTTATACTTAAATTTTGAAGTCAATGCATTTTCAAAAGATAGAAGTTGGATTAATTCAGCAGCATTTACAATCAAGTGTACTTTAGCAGTTGTTCCTTCCTGAGCAATTAAAAAACTGAAAAACACAATAGCATACAGTATCCAGACTCTCTGTGTATTTTCCATCTTTATGTGACTTATTTATTTATCTATTATTACTCTATTTCTTTTACTTTTATTTATTTTTCTTTGAGACAGGGTTTCTCTTTGGAAATCCGCCTGCCTCTGCCTCTGCAGCAAATCCTACCGGCATGTGCCACCACAGCCGGGCCGTTTCTTTTTTCTCTCAATCTTATGTATATTTTTAAACACACTGTAAACCTTTAGAGGTTTTTCTTCATCCAAGTCTGACTTTACTGTAAATCTTTATGTTTTTCTGTCCATGTGTCTTATCTGTTAAAACTGCAGCTGTTTAAACTGCCGTTTTTCCAAGATGGTGGGCATAAGCATGATTCCAGCTTACTGTCTCAGTCTGACATCCAGCATAAGCTCAGAGATGTGGTCACTGCCACTTCCAGCTGTACATATAACTTTTCAATTGTTAGCGGAGTCTCTTAAAAGAACCTTGATGGTTTTTTTTTTTTTCTTTTTATGCTGAGTCAGGAAGACTCCCGTAAGCGAGCTGCATGAATCTTGGCTTGTCGCTAGCAAAACAGAGCCCATCTGAGAAAATTCTGCTACCAAAAATCTATGCTTCTCTCCGTTCTTCTGTTTCTAAAATTCCTTTAAAGGTTTTGTCATTCTACATGGAAACTCATGATCCCACTCCTGAGTTGTAAAGAGAAGCTTTTCCTTGCTAGCCGCTTTGCCTCGTTGTAGTCCCCAAATAACACACAAGACGCTGTATTAATTATGAAGCTGTTGGCCTTGCTTGTTTCTTACTGGCTAGCTCTGACTTAAGTAATTACCCCATAATTGTTAATCTAAGTATTTCTCTTACCGGAGAATAGTTCCCTCAACATTGTGCCCTTTGAGGTTCTTCCAGAACAGCTGATTAAGCTCTGTGAACAGCTTTCTATGACTTCTGCCATCTACGTTCTGATGTCTTCAACATTTTTTCAAAAAAGTCAATATTCCCTGGTCCTTTGCAGCAACAAAATCATTTTTGAGGTACCATTTGTGTGTGTGTGTGTGTGTGTGTGTGTGTGTGTGTATGTGTGTGTGTGTGTGTGTGTGTGTGTGTGCCAACTTTCTTCTGATGCTGTGATTAAATTTTCTAACCAAAAGTAAGTCAGGTAGTGAACACGCTTATTTGGTTGTTACCCCTAGGTCACAGTCCCTCCTTATGAGAACTTAGGATAGATACTCAAGCTAATAAATGAAGGCAAAACATGTGGAACCATTGTTTCCTGACTTTCTCTCTTGCTTTGTCATTGTCTTGTTCTCAGTTAGCTTTCCTATCCAGCCCAGATCCACTTGCTCAGAGATATTGCCAACTCAGTGGAAGAACCTTCCCACATCAATCAAAACCAATACAATCTCTCTCTGACACAGCAACCAGATACACTGATCTAGGCACACCTTCAGTTGATACTCCCTCAGAGGACTCTAGGCTATATCACAATGATAGCTGAAACTAATTAGGAAAAAGAGACAATAATATATGAAAAGGTTTTAAATATCCAAAGTCACTGTATTAATCATATCAATCACTCAAGAAGCAAAAACACAAACATAGAGGTAGCAACAACTGGAAAACACAGATATGCCAGGAAATGGGAAGAGGCAAGTGTCTAAGTTCAAGAAGAGAAAATTAAAACTGTCTCTCCACAGAAACTTCCCAAACCAACAAACACTCAAGGAACTCATAAGAAATTTACTGAATACAGAACTTCTAGACACAGACTGTCAGTGTTCCAATCTGTCTTCCCACCACACAACAAAAGCAGCGCCTGTGTGTGCACACTGGACAGTGATGTTACAAACATATCCTCCCATGCCTGGGCTATAGAGTCTTCCCCTCCCCAGGAAAACTATGCACAAGGAGGCTCAGAGAGCAAGAAACACTGTCCAGGACACCACATGGATGAACCAAACCACAGTCTGGCTCATGGTCCATATAAATATCAGCATAAATGACAGCTCAATAGACCTGCTCTGAACACTCCACACTCACCATGGCAAGGTTCATGGTCTTCCTTACAGCTCCCTACAGCAGAAGCAGAGGAGAATCCTGTAAAGAACCTGCAAGCAACTTGTCACCAGTACTCCAGATTGTTAACCCTCCCCAGGATCCCTTATTGGCTAGGGCAACCCAGCTGGGCCTCAGAATAATAGTAACAGCTCCCCTACTGGGTGATCAGAGATCAAATGACTCTGACAGTACAGTCCTTCCAGATCTGCCCTTCCAGCCCAGCTGACAAGGCCCTAGCCTAGATAGTTTGCACTCTCCTAGAGAACTTCCTGTTCCTCATCCAAAGCACAGGGTCCTTTGTGTGCACACTCCATCACACACTCAATGTCCAGTGCAGCCAACCCATTGCTTCACAGCTGGGAAATCCTGAAGACATGTGACACATTCCCACAGTAACTGTTGTTTAAAAACAAACAAAAAGAGGCCATGAATTAGGAAACAATGAGGGGTCACTATAAGGCTTGGAGGCAGGAAAGAGAATGTGGATATGATGTATCTATATTCTCAAAAAGTATTGAAAAGCTGAAACAGTGCGCCAGAGACTAGGGATTTGTATTAAAGCACATCAAAGATTTCTCACGCCTTTTCTCTAAGGATGAACATCTTAAACCAGAAAAAATAACAGTCCTATTAGGAAGGACCACATCATTTTACCCAGATCTTCTATTTTGGTTGAATTACTGTAACTACAGCAATTTGGATTCATGATGAGGTCAGACCTTTACACAGATTCTTGATTGTCCTAGTCTGTGAACCCCAAGAAATGGTCAATAAGGCATTTATGGATCATCTAAAATTAACTATATAATTCCACATTGATAATCTCAACTACTGTAAAGCAGGAAAGCTCTCTCCCTCCTTCTTGACCCTCCCTTTCTGCAGTGTGACTCCACCAGTTTCATAGTTGGTTAAGAAACTCAATTCTTGCCCAGGTCCCTCTACATTTACAGGTTTCCAATGAAAGCCAGAGAATTGGAGGTTAATCCTTAACTGATGTATTTTTTCATTTACTGACCAGTCAAGGCCCAGACTGGAAAGAGTTGGAGGACTGTCTTCACAACAATGGGCAGCAGAGGCAGCATTAGGTGTTCAAGACGATTCTCAATTACATGGCATGAGGCAAGCCTGAACTACAATAGACATTTCTCTACACAGAAATCAATAATCAACCTTATTTGAGAGGAAAGAAATGAAACTACTTATGCCCTAGAAACATTGGAGAATAGAAACAGAGCAGCAATGTACTTAAAGAAAATATTTTAAAATAATACCAATGAGTGATTTTTTAAAAGATGAAATAATGTATTTTAAAATAAAAACAAACTTAGCTATATTGACTTTGGAAAAGTGTAGGTCCTTCCCTAGTTGCAGGAATGTCATTAATAAGAGATAGATTGACACTGACCATATGCATATGTTGGCTTCTGAGCTCTGTAAACTGACACCAGAGTCATGGCCTGTTTCTCTGAGCTGACATAACTGTGTCAAGCAGGATTGAACATATCTGTATAGGAGAGTTGTCTAATTGCAAGTTCATTAGTAACTGGCTCAAGATAATCTCCCAAACTGTACACCAACACAATCTGATCTGTTATCATTCATGTGATATGAATTTAAAAATTCTGGAAAATTACAAAATCACCCCCCCTTCCCCCAATCAGGTCCTTTTTCATAATGGTGACTACAGCAGCTGATTGCCTACCATATTTCCCATGCTGTGTACACAATAAATGATTCCTCCTATTTTGGTCTGAAGGAAAATTTTAAATCTATGAAGTGGTACAGCCATTTAATTTATGGATTTTGAAGGTCTAATATAGAGAACAGCAAGGACATTTCCCTGGAGAACAACAAACTGGAATGAAAGCCACCAGAGTCAACATAAGAGAGCTTGTCTCAGAAACATTTTTCAAAGAAGATGGAAAAGCAGCTATTTTAGAATTAATATGCCTTCCCTGGAATAAATCACTTCACACACTTAAAAGATTAGTAAAGAATAATCTCTTTAAAGATAGTATGCATCCATCTCTGACTAATGCTTAAAAAGGACTCAACTTAGACAGAATTTGCATTCTACAAATGCCATCATCCTTAACTGTCTTTTAGGTTCATGCTCCAGGTTACACTTTGAACAAATTAAATAGAGACTAGTAACTTGCAAGTCTAGCCCCTTAGGCAGATGGGAGAGTTACAGAGTTTGGCAGCCTGCTTTCCATGGATGCACCAAAAGAATGTTGAAGTTGACTAGAAAGATGTTTCTGCACAAAGCTACCTGCTCCCAGTGCTCTGAGCAGATTCAGCCCACAGACCAAAGTTACTCAGAGGCCTGCCCCTATGTCTGGGGAGTTTCAAGGGCCACAAGGGACCTTACAGGCTAGGAAATCTGGCTGCAGGTTTCCAGTCATATCTAGGTAGGACCCACCACATCAGCTCCCAGACCTCCCCATCTGCTCCTCCCCATCCAGGAACAGCAGCTGCTCCTAGTGCTCTGAGCACATTGAGCCCACAAGCAAAATTATTCAGAGTCCTGCCGTGGGACCAGGGAGTTGGACAGACCACGCAGGAACTCACAGGACAGGGAATCCGGCTGCCAGTTCTCACCAAGATTGGGGAGGACCCATGACCCTAGCTCCTTACCATCTGCTCCTCCCCATCTGGGGACATCAGACCCCTGTTCACCATGTCGTGGTTTCCCAGATTGCCCAAGCTCTCTGCTCGGTTCCCTGAAGCATAACACACAAAACCGCTGGTGCCAGCTCCTCTCTCTACAAAGCTGGTCCTGAAGGGCCCTGCACTACTTCTGACTGGCAGGTCATCTGGAGGTCCTGATTGGCTAGTGAAGCCTGAGTGACAAAAGCACCTCTCTTAGGGTTATAGTGTGCTTAAAGACACAGCACAATGTTTCCTGGCCATGCATTTCTCCAGACACAGACCTTTGCCAGATCTGCAGAAATATGCATTTCAGTAGCACTTGCCCCTGAATCCAGTAGCTGACCCTGCTGTCTTCCTGCACTCCTACAGGCACCTCCCCTTCTTCCTCCTGGACATAATGTGAATTGCACACCCCACTACACTATGTAGGGTGGAGTGATTGCTGTCACATGGATGGATGGAAAACCAGGATATTAAAACTTAAAGACAGCTTTTAGGACACAAAAGATATTTTTTCTGTGACTTCATGCTGAGGTCAGGTAAACTGCATGTTATTTTCAAGCTGGTAGCCACAGGGACTTCAGACAACCTTGAGAGAAAAGCAGGAACCAGATCGAGAACAAGATGACAGGTCCCCCCAGAAGGCTGGGTGATAGTTCCATTGCTTTAGAATTTTATTCTTGAAATTATTTTCTTTTCACAGTAAACAAATAGCTTAAGTATTTTATTTGTTTGAAAGTAAACTAGTTAACACTGTTATGCCCACGTGGCTAAGACCCCCAGAGACCACCAAGGAGGAAGACTTACGAAACTGCAGTTGCAAGGCTTTATTGTTGAATCCTACCAGTGTGAACTCTGTCCAGCAGCCTCAGAGGGAGTGACCACCCAGTTCATTAAAGAACTTTTAAAGACAAAAGTCACAGGATTATATCAGTAGGTAGGGAGAGGCATGGGTTGGATCCTGATTGGTCGACATTTGGGGAACTAGGGGAATTTCTCAGAGCCCCTAAGACTTTGCTTCGGCTTGTGAATATTGCTCTGATACAAGTGTGAAGTAAAATGTATACTCAAAACCAACTTGCTGAGTCTGTCATCATTCCTCCCAGGCTAAACCCAGTTAAGTGCTCATGACACCTCCTATGCTTATTTCATGTCCCCTCAGGTGCTCCAATGTCCATCCACAACTACTTTGGTGCCCCCCTGGCTGCTTCGGTGTGAAGGGACCAGACCCTCACCCAGTACCCAGCTTTAGCAGCATGACAGGCTACAGAAAAAAAGGCTCCTGTCTTCTCAACATGTGCTGAACTTCCAACCTTTCCTGGTCTTGCCCTTCACTAGGAAGACAGATACCCTCCAAGTGGCAAGGAACCAATCAGAAGTTAAATGGCAGACTCTGGATGTGCTTTAGAAGCTCTGGATGTGCTTTACAGCAACAGTGACAGGCAAAGCATAGCAACTGCTCTGGGAGGGCCCCAGAAGTAAACCAATCCTGAGGCTTTTGTGACCCCCCCAGACACTTCCCTTGCTCTGTCCCAATAAATTCCCTGCCCCTAGGTCCTTCTTGCTCCATCTGCTGTGTCTGATGAACTGAGGAACTGAGTTAACACAGTTAAATTACTAAACACTCTTTGCTTTTTCATTGGAATGGGTCTCTTGGTGATTTGGGGCTTCAGAATGTGGGTACAACAGCTGTTCCCCCTCCACTGCCACCGTGTACCCCAGCTGCCTAGTGTCCTGTGTTGTGTGAGTTGGTTGAAGAAAGAGGTCACTCCAAGGGTGAAATCATTAGACCTGGGTGGAAGCAGGAAAGTTCATCCTCTGATGGGCTGAAATTCCAGCAGCAGTATAAAAGCATATTTATTGAATGTTACCCAAACTTTTTTTTTGACTAACAAGTTTGTCATACCAAAGCTCCTGACCAAATCTGTGTGTTTTTCTAAAGCACCATGCCCCTGCAACTTTAGCCCTTATGATGTATCATTAGTAGTACCCAATAATCCAACAGCTTGAGATATGCCAGAAGTATCTGTGACCAAATGCAGTGCAAAGGCTGTAAACATGCTCCGGAAAAACAACTCTATAAATCACAGAAAACAATCACTGATTCCCAGTAAGATTTCTGTTAAGGTGAAAGTTCATTTACAAAACAACTGTTCTGTTTCAAAGTTTACCCTTGATACAGTTACTCTGCTACCCCGTCCCAAGGTTACCTTAATGTCCTTCAAGCTGCCCCAATTTCACTCCCCTGGCTGCCTCAGTGCCCCCCACCCCAACCCTTGCCTCTATACTACCCAGCTGCATCAGTTTTCCCCCATGCTTCATTGGTGTCATGTCCCCCCTGCCTAACTGTTCTCCCCCCATACTGCTATAGCGATCCCCTGCTGCATTAATGTATTAACAATGAGTGCCTCAGTGAACCTCATGTCACTTTGGTGTGTCTTCCTTCATGTCCTCAAGGCTGACTAAATGTCCCTTGGCTGCCTTGGGATCCCCAAAGCTGCCTTGCCCACACAACTCCCTCATGTTTCTCCCAGCTGCCTCAGTTTACCTGTGGCTGAGTCAGTGCCAATCAGCAACCCCGATGCTCCATTGGCTACCTCAGTGACTCTTCCAGCTGCCTTGGTGTCCTCCCTAATTTATGCATTTTCCCCCAGGCTGCCTCAACATGCTCCAGTCCCTGCACAGCACCTTAGTGGACCCCAGGCTAGCTTGACATTCCTCTCAAGTCCCTCAGTGTCCTGCAGGTTACCTCAGAGTCCCTGCAGCTTTCTCAGTGTCCCCATCCTGGGTGGCTCCATGTTCCCCCAGCTGCCAGTGTTCCACAAAGGATGCCTCAGAGCCCCTGCCCCTCCTGCTTGTTGCATGAAAAATAAAAGGCCCTGTGACTGATATTGGGGTTCAAACTTCAAGCTGAAAATCAGAAAAACAAAGTAGCAGACCACTAGCTCTTTCCACTACCTCAGGCTGAATTGGGCTGATCATGCTGTCTCTCCTGAACATGGCTGTAGAATCCTGAGACTGAATGTCTTCCTATCCTCAATGTGACTGGAGAATGAAAGCCAAGCTACCTCGGGTATACCACCATGCTGCTTTGATTTTGCCTTTCCAGTTACCTCAATGCCACACTATCTTGCCTGCCACAGCTGGGAAAGAGCTGGGTGCAGGGGACTTGGGGAGGTGGTAGGTACTGTAGGGTGTCAGTATCAAGGTCTCAAGGTCTCAAGGGACCTACCTGACCAGTCCCCAAAACAAGGCTACTCCTGGCTTAGCAGATAGACTCAATCACGAGTCAGGAGATCCTCGAACTCAGGATCACACCAGTTGTTCACAGACCAACACACTAACCCAATCACAGCTCCTGTGCTAGCACTAAGGAGGTGGTCAGATCATTAAGAGGTCAGTGGACCTGCTCATTATTGACAAGGGGTGCACACACAGTGACTGGCAGAAAAGTTTATGAATAGTAGTTGTCCACTCTATGTCATGGCATCATCAGACTAGCCCTTACAGATCACAAGGTCCACAGTGACTGGCTAGTCAGTTTGCAAATAGTAGATGGTCCACTCCTTTTGTAAGTAGTTCAGCCTAGTCTTGAGTCAGCATATGAATGACTGTGCAATGAGTGTCCCAAGAAAAGCCTGTGTATTTGAGAGGCTTGCAAGTTCTTTTTTTTTTTTTTTTTTTTTTTTTTTTTTTTGGCGTTTCCGAGACAGGGTTTCTCTGTGGCTTTGGAGGCTGTCCTAGAACTAGTTCTTGTAGACCAGGATGGTCTGACACTCACAGAGATCCACCTGCTTCTGCCTCCCTAGTGCTGGGATTAAAGGCGTGTGCCACCACTGCCCAGCAGCAAGTTCTTTTTTCTTTTGTTATGCTGTTGATTCTTTTGGTGGTCTTTGGGTTTCATCTGTAATTTTCCCTGGAAATTCTGTTCTTTACTCTAAGATTCAGCAGGGGGCTAATGCTTCTCAAATTTCTTATCTGGAAGTACTAACTGCAACACCAAATCCAGGACACTTTTTTGACTTAATAGAGGTAGTTAAAAATTAATGGATGGGCTTTCATAATTGTTCTAAAGAAAAGGTAGATAGCACCACCTTGTGGAGAAAAGGAATCATGGACCAGTTAGTGGTTAGGAAGCAGGAGGAAACAACACTGGTAACATTAACCATGTCTCAGTGCTCAGAAGATTATGGTGATGCATACATAGAAAAGGGAAAAAGTATCAGGGATTCACATAGTGACAACTGTTGAGAGTAAGTTCCCTGGATACTGAGCATATACAATCAATAGTAGGATCTGGACAGTCACCCAAAGTTCTTTTGTGATGTTGGGGTATCCATCTTCAGCCCATAGGCCAGTGTGTCTGGCAGACTTCTCAGCAAAGCAGGAAATTTTAAACTATCTGCCTGCATTGACAGTTTGTCAGTCATTTTCCTGTGTCATGCAGAATGCCTAGCAGACTCTTCCATGAAGCAGGAACCCTTTAGGACTATCACATCAAGTTCAGCAGTCACTTTCCTGTGGGTCCTGCATGTCCAGTTTATCAAACAGTAAAGGCAAGAGCAGTTTCTTGCCCAAATGACTAATCTTGCCATGTTGAAAGCAAACTCCATAATGAGTTTCTTTGATGTCCATCTTCCTCTCAGAAATAATTGGTGTGCCAGGAGTAGTTGTGTCTCACTATCATGAAAAACCCTAAACCATTTAAATGCCATATATTCTGTAGGTCTTTGAAAGGTTTGAAGAATATCTTTCCATCTTAAATACATCTCGGTATAACTAGAAAACCTAACTAACCTATTATAGGTGACTATGTGACTATATATAATGTGTATTTAATTATGCATTACATTTTAAAAGATCAGTATAAACACAATACTTAAACAAGAGGAGAAATATACATATCACAAAATTGACCTTAAATTTTTATCAACAAATGAAAATCCATACCAATAAAAAGAACTCATTTCTGTACCATAATCTCCCTTTTACCTCTAAAAAGAGATTGGTTGTGACCATTAGTCATTTATAACCAACCCCATTTAAGTGAAAACAAAAATTTATAAACAATATTTGGGAAATTGGGAGTTGTTCATTC